AGAAAACCTTTATTCTTGGTCTTTTTAAAAGAGTTCAAACAATACATTTCTTCAATATTTTTTTCTGATAATACAAAGGCCATCAAAACAATTAATTTATTCACCTTATTTAGAATTTCTGGTTAGATAATACCCCCCCTAGCTTTTTTGTGTTCTTTGTCTTTCTTTCTTTTATTTGTTTCTATTCTGGTTCGGTGAATGTATTTTGAATACACTGTTATATCTTTGTATCTTTGGATGACAGTACTGTATTCTTCGTGTTGAATAAAGTTGAATAAAAAATCAAAAAAAAAAAAAAACTGCAACATCATTATCATTATCATTATCATCATCATCATTATTATTATCATAGGACATTTGACACCAAATATGCAGTGTTATTTCCTATAAAACAGATCAAAAGACTGTGTGTGCTGTCCAAGATAGTTTTCCCTCTAACTAAAATGATGTAATCTAAGAACATTGCTGGGCTTGTTCAGTACTCTGGGAAGTGTCCTGGGGAAAATGCTGGAGGCAACAATTCAGAGAGGCTGTGGTTTCTTTGTAAGATCCACCTGGCTTGATCAAGTACACAGTCCAGTCTGATCCAAACTGGTGAGAGTCAGATGCACAGTAATGAACAAGAAAATATCAACATGCAAATTGCAAGGTTTGTAGAAGGGTCACCAAGTTAAATATAGGACTTTTAAACACTTTTTTAAAACATGGTGGATAAAATATGAAAGCATGGCTAAAAAATATGGCCTACAATAATGTGTGTTATTGCATTTAGTGATGAGAGTTTTATCATCATAAGAGGAAAAAGATAAGAAAATCATATTTATCTAGAATATAATACCTCAGAATGATTATTTTATTTGCTGAGCCAAAGCAGCCTTTCATTATAAGAAAGCTATAACACTTCACTGTGCTAAGTTAATATCAGTGCGTAATTTCCTGTAAAAATAGAGTTGCTTCGGCTGTACACAACCACCAGCTGCTGTGATATCAGTAAGATGTTTTAAACAGGGAAACGTAATGATCCTAGTTTATACACTGTATGAGGCATTCTCCACATTACAGCCTGCAAATACACACATTCATAATCACGGGGTTCTTTCACAGTGCTGGAAGAAATTTAGCCTACATCATTAGTATTATTATTAGCAAAAAGCACTGATACATAAGCAGCATTTTACTGTTGTAACTGTTTGAGCTGAAGCTAGCTTTAATTACTTGACCAAACATAAATTGTAACTTTAGCTGTAAAAGTAATAGTAAAAAGTGAGCTACAATATTTCTTTCTGAAATGTATTGAAGTAAAAGTGAAGGACCTCAAAGTGGTCCTTAGAACATTTACTTGAAAAAGATGTGTCATTACTCCACCTTCAGTTTTCAGTTGTATATGAAAGAAGAGAGAAGTCACCTGTTGGGTTCTTACCTGTGATTATAGCGTCATCTGCTGTTAATATGGCAGCACCGACAGGAAACCGGCTGCAGGGGCAGTTTCCATGTCTCGGGCCTGCTGGCATGGTGAAACGAGCTCTTTAACTTTATCTACACATAAAACAAGCACCAGGATCAAACCAAGCTTGGCTCGTTAGCATTTGAAGATATGTCAAAAGTAATTACAAAGTTTGTAATGAAACCGGTTTGGAACTGATCCCACATGCTTAGTGGATTTTGAGAACAACGTATTTTCGCCCTTGAATCAGTTTTATACTTCTTACTGTGGCATACAGTAGTTGTAGTATCTGTTGGACACTGTCCCACTGAGCACAATCATTTTAAAATGCACCTTTTAAAAGATGCTGACACCTTCACTGACAACAGTGAACTGTATAGCACGTATACAGGTTGAACTATATATGGATCTTTCACTCCACATTAAAGCCTCTTTATTCTGTTTACAGTCCACCATGATTTATCATAGGCACCAAAATCCTAATTCAGTGATGTGTCTTGAATGGAAAGGAGGGGTGGCCCTCTATCTCTTTGTTCTCCCATCACACCTAAAATCACATCAGAGGACATTTCGATGTTACTGTGTGTTCACACAAAAGCACTACATTTAAATGAAATCAGTTTCTAAACTTTGCAGTAAACCTTTCATTACTTTTGAAGATTTTCAAACATTGTACTGAAGAACTTTGAACCCTTGTATTGGCACTTTAGTGCTCTCATCAATGGTCATCCTCTATGTGTTTATTCTTTATCACAGGTCTCTAGAAAATGAGATCTTCATCACAATGATACAAAATAAATGAATAAAATATAAAGGAATATTGTCTCGACTTTTTCAATCGACACCACTTTGATGCAGTTTTATAAAAAAGAAACATTATTGATTATTAACCTTTTTTTCAAAACATAGATTAAGTGTTCGCTCTGTGAAATATCAGAAATAATTAAAATGGTGACTCTAAATTGCCCCTAGGAGTGAGTGTGGTTGTCTGACATGCCAAAATCTTTGCAAAGGTTTTACATCTATTTAATAAACTTACTTGTTCTGCAATTATTACATTCTTTTGGGCCCTTATGAATGAGTTAATGTATGGGGGTGAAAACCATGATGCACAGAGTTATTAAACATGTCTAAAAGTAAGGGTGATAAAAGATTAGAAAGCTGTTTCTAAAATTCAGTGGGGAAGCCATTTGGGCCACCTTTCTTTTTTGTTATAGTCACGTATCTAGAGACTTCCTCCAAAAGAAGGGGAGAATCAGGCCACTGAGAATCAACTGACATAACCAGATGACAGACTGATTCAATCTGGAATAAAAAGAGGTGAAGTTGATCTCTTTGGGCTGAAATCTGCCCTGATCACCACCTTGAATCTTTCCCAGAGAAGGGAAGGAGACAATATCATTCTTATTAGTCTCAACAAATGCACTAATACAGTTGAATATATAATTACAAAATTCCTTACCAGCGAGTAAACCTGAGTTGAACCATCAACCTGGGGAGGACCTTGACACAGCAGGAAAAGCTAAGCAACCTGCTGCTCTGAAATCTGCTGAAAAATGTCTCCCCCTTTAAATTATTTTTCAGAAAAATTCAAATCAAGTGGAGTTAGATGGACATATTTGGAGTTATTTTACAATTAACAGTGTGATACTTAAATAGATAACTGAATTAATAAAAAAAAATTGGAGATGCAAATCATGGCAGATTTCAGAGCTGGGGGGTGGGGTGGTTTAAATCACGATGCCGGTCTTGTGTTGAATTTGGTCCCAGATGTTTCCCCCCATTAGAATTGTGTTTATAGTGAAGCTATAAAGTTTTCTCTTGTGGACATAGAGCACATGCAATTAGTTTAGAACTAGAATGATATATATATATATGACTGATATGTTGGCAGATACTAGCTTATTACAGATGCTGTTTCACTAGTAGGGACCTGCTAGGGGTCTGCCCCGCTCTCAGGTACTGGTGGACCCCCAAAACCTTCAAGAGAATCAAGGCAGACTGAATATTCCTGACGTCTTGAGGTGTGGACATAATGTAATTGATAAAGCTCTTAATAAGTTGCAGACCAAGCCCTTTTGTCTGTTTGCAAAAGGCCATAAATACAACATATGCACTGATATCATCCTCCGCAGGTATCAAAGGGCAACTAGCTTCCCCCTAAGGACACACACACACACCCACACATTCATACTCCCCTCTCCTTTTTTTGTTCTTTAGTTTGCTTAGGTTTAATATTTTTTATGTTCAACTTTGATATTTGAGGAGAATTTGTGTTGCAGAAGATTTTCATTTTTATCTGAAACCCATTAGAAGCTATAAAGGTCTGAAATCATTTTGTCAAATCAACACTCTGCCTTTGTTCCCTCCGTCCTTCCTGTTGTAACTATCAGTGGTTGTATTTGACTTTCGCAGTGCCAGCTATAAATGGTGAGCTGCTCAGTCTCATTGTCCTCCCTGTTTTATTTGGCCTACCTTCTGATAGTTACAGTCAGAGGGAAATAGGAAAACCAGAGAAAGGACCCAAAAGATAAAAAGGGTAAGACCATGTGTTGTACGGGGAAGTGTGCCCGCTTGGTGGGCCTGATCCTGCTGCCTACAGCCTTCATCTGCATGATCGCCAACCTGTTACTGTTCTTCCCCGACGCGGAGCAGCTGGGAGTCAGTCAGATCTCCTTCCAGGTCTGGCTCATGGGGGGAATCATAGGAGGAGGCCTCTTCGTGAGTATTAGACTATGATACTTGTACTTGCAGTGGCTCGTTTGATCTTTTATTGTGTTTCATTGGATTTTTAAGCCTTGTATAAACCTGTAAAGGTTTTATTGACTTTTACAATTTTGGAAGAATAACTACAGGACTATTTTTAGAAGCACAGCAGAGTGCTGTCATGGGATTTTATTGGATTACTTTATTTGTGACTGTATTTGCGTATATTTACATACATCTAAGAGCCTTCATGGGTTAGACATCGTACCTGTAAGTGGAGGGTCATTGTTTAAAGCAAAGTTGTAACTCGCAAAAAAACAGAAGTCACTATTTTTGTTAAAACTATTCTTACATATAAACATATTTCAGGCTGAATTACAGGAAAAGATACACGTCCATGTATGCAGAAAATTGAGATGTTTGTTTTTAATAGTAATTCAAAAAGATAAAATTAAACGTTAAACTCAAATCAACCTTTTAAGAATCATGGAAACAAGTAGAATAACATTTACTTAAGTGCTACACACATTTATACTTTTAATCCACTAGAGTCAGAAAGATATAGTATATTGTACTAAATTTACACTACAAATTAAAATGCTATAAAGAAATATACAATGAATTTATGTTACAGTATATTGTTACCGATTAATATACAGAAAACATATAAATACTACTGTATAATGTATAACAGTATTCTTATCTTGTACTGACTACTTTTATTTTTGATACTTTTGGTACATTTTGCTGTCACCACTGTACATGTGTCAGAGTGTCTTGAAAAACATGTACTATAAGGAAAAGGTTTAAAAATACTTGACACCACTGAGGATTGAGACATCTCCTGTACTTCCTCAGCAATATCAAACACACACACACACGGATCTGAATCTATGTTCTTCCACAACACTGACTTGACAGTTGAACCGTTTACAGGGTCAAGAAATGGTTTGAAAATATTTAATCTAAAAACTAAATCAATCAGAGAGACCTTTGAGCCTCATGAAAGGACATATCTTTATCACCATGATATTACAGTGAGGAAGTGCGACTTTTTTCTGTTCCCACTCTTGAAGTGGGTGGATGTCACTGGTATGAGAGAGTGAAACTCGACTCATACAAATATTTGGTTAAAGAGATACCGCTAGACAACACACACAGACACACACATACTATATAAATTAATCAAATGTGTAGGTAGACTTCTGTGTACCTGTAGGCACAAACACACACTACATCTACACAATAAATACCTTTAACACAGGACTGCAAAATATATAAAGTGGGACATAAAAATTGAGGTTGTGTTTTATTTTGGCAATTTTCCAGATACTGTGCCCAAGCTGTTCGGCTATCAGAGCTGGGGGCAAGGGTTGCTGTGGAAAAGGTTGCTGTGGTAACCGTTGCCGGGTGAGTAAGTAAGCAAAAACAAAAAAAGGGAGAGCACTGCTCTAGGGCTATAGTTGCCACTAATGTCTGTTCTTAGCAACTTCTCATAAATAACAATTAAAATGATAATGTGGGTTCCTACCTCTCCTTTAGATGCTGAATTCAGTCTTCTCCTCTGCCTTTGGCCTGGCTGGAGCACTTTACTGCCTCAGTGTAGCCTCAACTGGTCTGGCTATTGGACCCAAGTGTCAGCTGGCTGATGGCGGATGGAAATACCCCTTTGAAAACTTTGGGACGTGAGTGTTTCTCCCATTGTCGCTCATTTAAATTTCCTCAGGCACGCTTTTCAGTGCAACAGTAGAACAACTCCAGCAGACAAATACAGTATCCTGCATTCAAATCTCTCAAATCTCCTGCTGTAGTTCTTCCTTGTTCTTTAAGGTATACTGCTGTGTATGTTCTTCTCCCTTATCTCTGAGTTATTTTCTCATCAGCTAACACCCACTTTATTAGGTACACCTGTACAGTTGTATGTACTTCAGTGCAACTCTTGTGCCTTAACGTCTGTGTTTATGAAGCTCAAAATGTTTCCGTTTTTGGTGAAATTGTCATAAAAAGGTATTAATTATATGTTTATTATTGAGGTCATGTGTTGTACTGAACCACATTATATTCAGAGGTGTTCCTAATATTCGGACCCTGTATGTAGCTGGGGAGGACACAAATATAGAAACACCTCTGAATATAAAGTGGTCCAGTACAACACCACCTTTAACTATGACCTCAGGAATAAACATATAATTGAATTTATAGATTTATGACAATTTCACTATAAACTGAAATACATATAATGGCACAGGTGTACCTAATAAAGGGACTGAGTGTATATTTGACTGAGAAGATGAAGAGATTCAGTTCATTATTTAAAATATAAATACATGTAATACTCTTCAAATCCAGTAGGTGGCAGACTGAACCTGTCCTTTGTCTGATGAGTAAGTTCAGAAAAAGCTACCACTCTTCTTTTAGACTCAGCTCATATTTAAAAAAACAAAAACAAAACAGTCATGTAAACCCTTACTAATGCTTGGAGAGTAACTGTTGTTCAGCTTGATCAGAGGTCACATTAAGCTACAGATTAGCTTCATCTAGCACATCCTTTGTCTCCTTGTTAGCCCAAAAAAATAATGTTTTAAAATAAAGCCAACACCAAGTGATGCTTAAATGTTAATCAAGTGGCACCAGTGAAGTATTTTATACAAGCCTGGGCAGGTACGGTTTAACCACCTGACAGGGCTGATTGGGGCAGTGGTTAATAAATACGAGCATGGTGTTAATATGTAGACTAAAGCTGCCCACAATGACAGCTGCTTAAAGGGCACCCGTGTTTACAGGGTGGGAACCAAGCTCGATAACACCATGCACGTTGGGATATTAATATTTGACCTCAGCTTGTTCTTCTTTCAGCAAACTTCAGTTTCCCTTTCAGGTCTAAGTGTATAGATGGGATTGTAATGCAATTAACTGGGCATCAAAGGCCACATGCAGTGCTTGTGTTACCAAGATGGAATGAAGCCTGTGTGGCCTCCATCCAGCAAAGTTCTTATTTCCATTTACCTCCCTAGTGACAGTTTTCCTCAACCCAGTCATTTCTTTCATCCTGCACCTCTAACTTGACCTGCTTCACACATTTTCATCATTGCTGTGTGTGTTTATTCTCCCTTGCAGGGGTAACACCAGCTACCTTATAAACCAAACTCTGTGGTCAGTCTGCGATTACCCTAAAAACGCAGTGATGTGGCACGTCGTCCTGTTCTCCATTCTGCTGGCTATGAGTGTGCTGCAGGTGGTGCTCTGCGGCATCCAAGTAGTCAACGGTTGCTTGGGATGCATCTGCGGGGACTGTCGTGACAGCAAAGATGTAGGTGACCAAATCCTGAAACTCTACCTGTAAAAAAGTAAACCGAGTTAGGAGAGGAAGAGAGGACGCATGAGGTTTTTTGAAATCATACAGTGGATTGTGAACACTTTTTCTGAGCTTTTCTGTGTTGCGAAAGTTACACAGAAAATCTGCAGTGATTATAAAAGGGGGAAGCAATTAAGTTTTAAACAATCTGATCAAACTGGACCACAACAACATGAACAAGTGTGTTCTGTTGCTTCAGTCCTGTTTTGATTGCTGTGCTGGGTTTCTGTCAAATCTGGCATTGATAGAAAACAGGAAAGGAAAACAGGTTTGTAGTTTTTATTCTGTGCTGTAATATGTGTGCAAGGAAGAGAGTAATTTAGTTGTTATGGGATTGTTGAAATTGTTGTGCCACTAAACAGGAAAATGGCTCTCACCGGTGAGAGGAACTGCACTCATTTGAGATCACATCTGGTTGTTTTTACACTATTGTATCAATTAAACAAAATATTACATTTAATTTTAATGCAATCAGTGACTGTAAACACTTATCAAAATACAGACATAGCTCCCAGAAGTGAAGCCACTGCCCCCTGGTGGCTGGTTTCGGTATAGGTCATAAATCCCTCCCTCCATGTTAGTGGATGGGACATGAGCCACACTAAAAACTTTTAAGTACAAATCAAATACATTTTTCCCAGAGGTCACTTCTGAGGTCTTTCGTGGATATTATCACACTGATGTTTGTACAAATGGTTATTTTTCTAGTACGTTTGTTTTTAATGAGTTATTTGATGATATAAAAAGCTTTGACTGACAGTCTAATGCTGTCACTCCACTTCTGGTCGCTACTGCGCAGGGTCTGGTTGCAAAAATGCAAGATGGCAGCCACAGTATTCACAATGTTTTGGCTTAATTTTTGCACAGCAGACAGAAGTGGTGACGCCATGTCCATCATATACACAGTATGTCAGTGGCTTGAATGGCAATATCTACACAAGCTGAAGATTAAGCTCAGATTTTGCACATGTCTGAACATATTTTGCTGATACATGTTGGTAAGATACTGTGTTTATGTACATAAATGATGAAAAGTGAATTAGGCAGCATTCACCACACAGGATTCTCAAACACTGTAGTATCCAAAACCATTTTCTCACATTCTCAGAACTCACTGTCTGAAACATGGACTAAACTAGAATGTGACTTCTGTCCTGTTGCAGGATGAGGATGGACTGTAAACATGAAGACCATCATTCTGCTGTAACCTGGCTCCACAAGGGTCAGGAGGCATTTCTGCATTTCACTGGATTTGTCGAGGTCTCAATGAAGGATCCTGGGATTTTCTTTTGATGCTCAGTGTCCAAAGCTTTACTCCATTTCTGTGTGCATTTTTATGGTTTGTGTGCACTGCCTGTCCTATTTTTGTTTGACTTCTTCATTAACATAATTACTGAATCACTAAATCGTTTCCATAGTGAAAACTCCTCAGGGGATCAATATGGATCAACATATAATTGTAAATAGCTTTTTATATTTGAATGAATGTGATGGTAAACTAAGACGAATAAAAAAAAAAAATCACATTAAGCACTATTTTAAGTAATTTGTGCATTATTGGTGAAATGTCTCAAGAAAAGTTTGTTCCTCCCTTTACATACACCTCGGCACTAAACATGTCATCCACTAACTGGTTATCCAGTGGAAGGACGTCTCCACAGTTGCTACTGGGACGTTTGTAGCGGTCTGCCAGATCTAACAGGGTCACTGGGGTCAAAGATCCAAACACCCCCTGTGGACACCGTGACCACTGCAGCTGTGTAAATGGTGCACACTCTGTATCCGCGCCTGTTAGCAACAGTACAAATTAAGCTCAAGGCTCATAATCTTTTGTTGCTCTGGAGCAGTTTTGCTGTAATTGTTACCTCACTTTCAAGTTAGAAGGGGGGGGGAGATGTGTAGGAAAAAGGCCTGTGCCCAACACTGTAGCCATCTTAGCTAACTGACTGGCCAATATTATGCAGCTCTCTTATATAATACACAGCACAAAGCGAGGAAGGAGCATAAGTGAAAGGAATTTGGAATAAAAGAATGGTGGGACAAAGGGAGGGAAATGGGAAGGGCGCCCGTTCTCAGCCACTTCTCATGCAAATCGTAGCCATACTGACCGAATCCAAGAAGGCATAGAGAAGTACCATTTAATGGTGATGTCAGTGCACACATGCTCTGGGCGAGACTAAATATACAGAGAAGTGTTCCCTCAAAAAAGAGGAGGGGAACAAAACAGAACACTGTTGTTGGAATTCCAGACTCTGTTATATTCACACTGTGCACTAATTTAGACCCTGCAGTGAGGCCAGTATTTAGAGACGTACCCCCTCCCCAAAAATGAGCCCTTCCTTTCTGCTTTATCCCTTCTTTTCAGGCTTGACGGACACAGGACAATGAAGCAGAACTGGCCGGATTGGACCAGAACAGAATTCAGACAGAGCGGAACAGCAGATTATGGGAGAAGATGATAATATTATATAAGTTAAGCGACTGCTAGTAAAATTCATATCTGTGTTACTCTTTCGCTTCACACATTCACAGCCACAGCCTCATGTTGTAACCGCTGACCGCACAATTTCAACTCAGACACACATAAACTGGTAAGTCAGCAGTGTCCACCGCCCAATAATTATGTCAACCACACCATGAATGACCCAGGCTGAGCCACACAGTAGATCTGTGAGCAAATCAACATCATCAGTGTGTCCAAACGTGAACTACGTGTGTTTGTTTTTTCATTTGTCCTTAAGTGTTTTAACATTGGTTGCTTTTGACTGTATAAATAAACAGTGTTCTTTTATTAATGTTGCCATTTCGATCTATAGAACTTTGTCTTTTCTTGACTTTCTGCCAAGGTTACTTACAGATGCTGACAACATTTCTGGCACTAAAATCATAAAATCCAAAGACATGACATTTACATTCAGACTACACATTATAATTAAGATATAATATTACCTTTTTGCATCATAACTTAATGGTGTTTACATTTATGGCAGTGGATTTTGGGATAAAATAATCAATACAAAAACTCATTAAATGCAAACATGTTTACATGTTTTGAAATTTGCCAGCCAGCCTGAAAAATGTCAACCCTTCATACAATACCCTCTCTGCTTTTGTAATATTTGAATAAATGAACAATCAAAAGGATTTTAGTCTTCTGGTGACACTTTTTATGTCAAATTAGTTACTCTGAAAAAGTATTAGAGCAAACAGGCTGCAGGGGAGACGTCTGCTGCCGTTTGCTCTCGGTGTATCTTTACTCACATCTAGGATCAGCTCATTCGTTTTGTATTTAGGATACAAGCTTCCCTACGCACTTAACACTGAGAACAAACATGTAGCTACAGGAATTTCTCTGGCTGATGTAAAAATGGCATACAAAGGAAGCATGAGACATAATGTACACAGCCAGCAGGCTGAGGAGAACACAGGAGGGTGACAGCGGCTGAAACCAGCTGTGAGCAACCTCCGCCAGTTCGTCCCAGCCCCTCCAGAAGCATGTACAGCATCAGAAATCTGGGTGTGGGAATGTCTGGTGGTCTGAAGGAACAAGGAGGAGGGAGGGGACAAGAGAGGAAAACAGGGACTTGGGGTGGGGAGCACAGAGGACTATACTGGTTTGATCCTGCAATGACTTGATTTTAGTTAGTTTACAGAACATTTCAGTTTGTCTCTGATTTGTTTTTCCTTGAAATATTACCACTATCAAAGCCATAGAGTAACTTAATGCCTGGAGACATTTTAGCATCTGTCCTGTTTGGTTTTCAGAGGCAAGACATGAACTGTAAAATGGATAATGGATGTGTTTTACTTCAGACTGAGTATCGTTTCTTTATTTTGGAATGGGAAGGTTTACTTTCAGTCCATCTGAATTTGACTCCTACTATTCCTGTCTCTCTACTAGATGGATTAAATAGACCAGCTGAAGGTGTCTGATGTCACTTTGGCCCTTGAGGCCAATAGGGCAGTGGGAGTGGTGCTGTTGCTGTGATATCTGAGCCTACGTGGGCTCACAGGAAGCTACTGTGCTACCTCACTTTCATGTCGGGGCCACCAGTAGACTGGCTGGAGCACTTGTCACCTTACAAGGAGAGGTATGGGCATGTGAATGCATGGAGGAGACTCCACGGGGAGACCACTTGTCTTTCTGTGAAGGCATGACAAAAACAACAGTGCAAGTTCTGAATCTGCTACACAGAAAGAAGCCTGCGGATGTTTCATACACATCCACAATTCCTAGCTGAGAATAACATGAGCACTGGGGAAGGTTAGGCCACTTAGAATAGAAGACTAATAGCAATATGTCTGTACCTGAAATCAAATCTTTTTCTTGTTTGATGCCTTTAAATTTATCCTTAATTCAAAACTACTGCCCAATGTCTGTCCTTGACATACATCCACAGGTGTAAATCTGTTCATGTGAGTGTGCACATGCACGTCTTTGTGGGTAAGACTGGACATTCTCACAGACAGCAGAGATGTGAAAGCTGCACCAGCTGCAGTTTGAACCTATCATTACCACTGACAGATTCAGTACATCTCTTGCTGCCTCTCTAGCTTCTGCTCCCTGTGCAACCACATTTAGTTTTTATATTCACTTGTACAAGGATATGAATAACTCTTTAATCAGTATTATGACTATGTTTGATGAGGCAGCATGTGTGTCACAGTCACCTTGCTCTGGTTACAACCTGTGCTTATCCCTCATTTGATTACACATACTGCACCAACTTGACGTTCCCATATTAATCGAATGGCAGAATGTCTCATCCACTCATGGGTAAGTGCCTGTTGCAGTGGGCGGTACAGGATCAGCTTTAGAAATGTGCCTGCTGCTGCACAGACTGTTTCCTGGGTGATTTGTGATCGGAAGGCTCAGAATCACTCTGAGAACTCGTCTGGGTAAATTTCCACTAGGCCAGATCCCTGCAGACAGTGAGCTGCCCCCAGTGAGACAGAAAACAAACAGCAATAAACCATCTAATGGGCCAAGAACGGCCAAGCCTTTCTCTGTCCTTCACTCTGGATCTGTCTTTATGAAGCGTCTTCAGACCCGTGTGCACAGTCAAGTTTTGCAGGTTTCTCTTGACAACATGACAAATGCTCACTGGAAAGCTGGGAGATTCTGGAAATGCCTGTACGATATATTTCATACTGCATATTCTGTACAACAAACATGGCGCTGTGGATGGCTGCCTTCGTAGTGCACTCTTTCATGTGTTTATTGTTTTTCCTCGTTCTCTCAGTCTTCTGCTTCTCATAGAAGTCAGGACAGAATCATGTACAGACGGGCCAGGAACAGACCTCCAAAGTGGGCGCACTGTAGTGCAAACAAACTCAAAACCTGTGATATGTGTTAAACAGCTTCACACATGACGTTTCTGCCATTACAACTGATTCCATATAAATTATGTACATTTTCCAAGTTTTAACCAGCTGTTAACCTACACAAATGCATTTAATAAAATAACACAGTTCAAACAATGCTACCAGCTGTTGACAGTGACCTCTGACCTCTCCAAACTGAACCAAGAGGAAAGAAAAATGTCCTTACCTGAGGTGAAAAGTCGATCAGTGCTTTTTGACCATTGTCTGAGATCAAATCACCTGCGTTCAGGCTTTTAGTGAGTGATTTTATAGACACACAAGACATTTATCAGTCATTACTTGCAAGGAGAAGCTAATTATAGGTACATCACGAGCTATTGCTCAATAAATCTTGTGTTATATTTATCAAATATGTGCATAAGATAAAGGCAAAACAAAGGAGCACATGCAGAAGGAAGTAGGTATCTAGGATGGGAGAAAGGCAGCAAATGAGGAAAGGAGCTCAGAGGGAGGGGAGAAAGCGGGCGTGCCTGTTCAGTCACCACGCTCCTGGGATTAGCTATTTAAAGTTCAGTTAATCCGCGCCACGGAAACGTTTCCAAGCCACCGAGCAGGACGCACGGGGAGGTAGCCTACAATTCAGGACGCGCACAACCGAAGACGCACTGTTGTGGCTGGAAATTTATAAAGACCATCCAGGATTCATTCCCTGTCTGTCGTTTTCACTCTTATTTCACCAGGTGGGTGAATGTAATTTAACCTCTTTAAACCTCAATCCAAGTTTTTTTTTATCACAATGCAGCTTTGGCTGTACATCAAGATTTCGAAATAAAGCGCAGAGATAAATATAAAACAGGCTAAAGGCTTCTCTTATCAAAGCAGTTTAAGTGTAAGGGTTGCTCTACTGGAGCAGGGGGTGTGTCCGTGGGGAGGTAGCCGAGCATGAACATGCCTGTTTGGTATTTCGAGAGCCTTTTTTGGGTTAGTGCCAGAGGAAACCACTTGTCAAACGCTGTCGTGCACGATAGAACAGGGTCCCCTACTGTTCCGGTTCAACTGGTATCGTTATATCAGAGTTCATGAGCAAGTTAAACATCTTGAGCTTCTCACCCGAAGGTGTTTACGCCAAAATGTGGACACAGTGGATACTTCCACTTCCCGATAACAAGCGGGTTTTCGTGGAGACGGGGATGCGATAAGTGGCGCGTGTGCACTTTTCATTCAGCCGTTCACCTGCACGCGCACAGAGGCCTCCACCTCGTGCACGAGCTCTTAAATGAATCAGGCAGGTTTGTTAAAAGGTTCAAAGTGTGTCATTTCGGGTCATCAGCTGTCACGTTTGAGAGACATTTTACGCCGAATAAGACGTAAAGGTGCAAACATGTCTAATAGGTTGTTCACGTTTTGTATGTCAAAGCAGTACAGTAACTGTAGAAATGACAGCTTGTTGGATGCTTCTGTTGGTGTATATCCTTCTCTAGTCTATAACAGATGCACACTTGCAGGTATACACTCACACAGTGTGAGTCCTCCAGCCTGGCAGTCTGGGGATTCACTGGAAACGGGAGAGTTTGGTGGAAATATGGATTCTGGCATCACATTACTGCATGCACATGTGCTCTGCTGCTTGCATTAACATTGTTTGCAAAGCAGATAAGGAGCAGAGTACAGACTGAGGGGAGCAGATGGGGGTTATAAAAGTCCAACTGTGTAAAATGGAAACGTATGTAGAGATAATGTTCAGTAAACACATTTGCAGTAAGGAGATGACGCGTGCAAATAATGAAAACCTTGCAAAGTGTGACACAGCTGAGAACTCGTGAGCCACAAGTCACTGGCTAATTGTTTCACTGGAGGGATTGTGCAACGCTCAGCTTCATCAGCAGGTAACTGGTGATTGAACCGAGCAAAACGACTATCTCTGGGCTGCATATCATCCACATCGGCTGCCTGCAAGTTGGAGCCTCTAGTTAGAGGGAAAACAAGGAGAAAGAGGTCAGAACACAAGCTGAGTGTAGTGTCTCCCCTTTTGCTCACATATGTCTTTGTACTGAAGTCTTGCTTTTATAATTTCTTAATCGCTCTCCTTCATCTTCTCCACCTCCTACTCTTTATCCTGTTATTTCCTATCTACTTTATCTTTCTGTGGTCAGTGTGTCTCTGTGCGTGTCTGCTATCTTGAGTTTGTTTCCCTCCTCCAGACTCCCAGGCTGCTGGGAGCTGCCAGACTCCTACAATTAATCATGATCTTGGTCCAAAATTCCTCACCACTGACCAGGGCCTTGATATGGTCCTGTTTACTCTACTTTCCACATTAGTATTGATGAGTCATTAATTCTCAAAGAATATACAATCTATGTACAAGCGTAATAAAATTAGGTGGGGCTAAATCAGGTCAGTCCCTGTTCTGTCATCTTGACAATTTGTACCAAACAAACTGCTTCACCGTAAGGAACTCACTGTGTCTGCTAAATGTGCTAGGATTTCAGAGCCACACCTGAGTGAAACAGAGAGGGGAGATGCATTAGTTGGTCCAGAAATGCAGGACAAGTGAGAATTTGTCCAAAGCAGAGCCTGTGAAATTATAGTTTTCCCTGTGGCTTGTTGACAGTGCGCTGACTGTGCATATGTGTGAGCTGTCACGTCTCCATGCCTCTCGACGAACCAGCAGTAAACAGTGAAAAAGATGTTGGCCCAAGACTGCCCTGCTTTATGATGCAATCGCATCGCACCGTTTGTCATCAGATATCCAAGTCTTTGATTCGCGATTAATGAACAATGGGGCACAGTGAATTATCTCGCGTTGGTTTTCCAATCAGGCTGACAAAGTAAGCAGTTTATTTCAGACACTGCCTGGACGAGGAAGTTTTAAAGAAAATCAATGTAAGACTCCAGGTTTTTGGTAATGATCTCATACACAACCTTGAATATTCTAATATGAAGTCATATCAATAAATAGCTATTTGTAACTACAAATAGTTTAAAGGCCCCTGCCCCTTCTACATACACCACAAGACCCCAGGCTCCTTGTGGTCCTTGTTGTATCTCTTGGCAGTTATTTTGTGTCCGACTGCTCTGTTTGTCTTTTGTTTTGCAACTCTTTTTGGTTGGACCACCCCTCCGACTCAGGTCTACAGTACAGTGCCTGCGGTGGAAGAGCTGTATATTCAAAGGCTATTCTAGGTCCAGATAAGAAAGGTCGAGGCTGAGTGGAACTGTAGGGTCAAACAATGAGCAGCAGCTACAGTTCTGAGTCCTGCTTAACTGTGCAGGGTTAACATTAACATATCTGCCTGATGCCTCCTATGCCATGGTTGTCAGAAGGTGTATGAACTTCTCTGGTTGTGTAGCCTAACTGACGTCCTTTTCTGGGATTAAAAGGTGTGCAGGATGACTGTGATAATGATGGCACTGTGAATGCAGACTGGCCGTTCAGTGATAGGCTTACATTAGGCTATCATATCGCTGAAGTGCTGGGTCATGATTCCATTAGACTGACTTGACAAAGGGACAAGGAGCTGTCAGCAGGCTTGGACACTCAGGTTTGCTGTCGCTGCAATAAGGCAGCATCAGTCTGAGCTGTAGCACAAGTGGAAAATGTTATTTATTAAATAGACTGTTGGCTTAATGGTTTTAACTCTCTCTTCAAGCACAAGTTTAATTTTTGCATTTTTAAAAACCTTTTTTGCTGCCCATTTTATATTCATGTCTCTGTTCCCTCCTCTTCACCTACAGACCTCTGTCATGGGCGTGAAGATGCTGCAGTGTTTTCCTTTTCAGAGACGCTCCAAAGACCGCTGCAAGAGCAAACAGTGCACCCCAGTGGCAGGTGAGTCGTAACTACCGAAGAAAACTAATGATGTTGATTTGAAATGTTGTCATTTACATATGCACACTATCATTTAGTTCCCGTGGAGGAGGCGAAGCCACGTCTGTCTTCCACGACATCCTGTGGTAGTGACAATGAAGGACCAGCGAGCCCCAGCCAGACCTCCCAAATCTATTTCTCCACTAAGGCCAAGCTGTCCTTCAGACACCAGCTGGACAGCAACATCAACGCAGTGGATGCCACCTACTGAAGAGGAGATCCCATTTCCCCACTCGTGCTCGGAGCCTGTGTTGCGGACCTGGGACCATGACAGCTGAGCAAAAGCACATGACGTCACCTTCAGGTGCAATCAACAGTAGTTGTGCACAGCTGCAGTTTGCATTTTAACCTCCAGTTCCCTTGTGCCTACAAAGAATCCACAATGATTAATCAGATTCAGCAAGGTACAGAGAAAACGGACTGGGTTTTCAGTCTCTGTGTGATAAGATTTCAGAAGACTAAACGGTGGATCCACACTGATGAAAGAGAAGACGGGATAAAAACATGTTTACAGCATCCACTACCAACCGGTGCATTATTTCTTCTCTTTCTTTTCTGACAACCTTTGTAGATTTTTTTTCAGTTTGCTAAGTATATTATGGCCCATATTAAATAGGAGGCTTTCACACAGCAGGATGAGGGCGTTGGCAAAGTGATGAAAACCTTGAGCTAAACCTTGTCATTAACATGAATCGGATTTCTAACCTAATGTTGACGCTACTTACAGCCAGGACTGGGCTCACTTTCTAACTTTGCTCTGACACAAAACACTGCACTTTAACAGTAAAATACTACAATAGAGAAAAGAATGGGCTCTTGTTAAGAAAAAGGTATTTATCCTAATCCTAGCACAAATACAAAAGGGTCATGTTGTCTGTAATATTTCCAGACCAGGTTTGCGGATATTCAGCAGCTGTTTTTGAATTCGTCATTCACACCTGGCTGCAGCTGATTCCATATTTTTGTCTTTAATTTGTTTCACTATTATTTTTTTCACTCATGCATTTGATATTAAAATGTGCTGACTTTTAACAGACTAATTCTAACTACAGTCTTTTAATGATTTACATGGTTCTGTATTTGAACAGTTT